TTTATGCAAATGTCTGATGAATCACTTGATTATGTTTCAAGAAATTCAAACCCGTTTAGAAGGGAAAACCGCAAAGTAATCATATTATAACAACATTTTTTCCTTCTTTTAAACGAATCTATTTCCTCAAATCTTGTTTTGATCATTGAGGAAATTCTTATTTTGTAATGAAAACTACTCATGATTATTTTTTTCGAGAAATATAAGAAGCCTATAAAATCCCACCACCATTTTCAACAAACTGTAAACATTCACTGGGTTGTTAAGTGTATTCATTTTACAAAAGTTGATATAATGTCGTAGTTGCCTGTACTAATAATATTGTGTTATATCGCAGGCATGACGAATGCGGAGGTGCTGCACCAAGTGGAGCACGGGTACCGCATGCCGTGTCCCCAGAACTGTCCCGCAGCGCTCTACGAGATCATGCTGGAATGCTGGCACAAGGATCCGCTCAAGCGGCCCACCTTCGAAACGCTGCAGTGGAAGCTCGAGGACTTCTTCACCATGGACAACTCAGAGTACAAGGAGGCCTCCGCCTACTGAGCCCGGCCCTCCCTGCCGGCGCACCGACACGCGCACATGCATCATGTCAGTACCACACCCCAATCCCAAAAGTTGATAATATATGATAAAAGCAAGCATAAAAGCAAAAGTAGTACAACACTGATTAATTCGAATTTATTCAAATTGTTTCATTAAAAAAATATATATATTCAAGCTGTATAGCTTATAAAATCATGACTTATCCAGAAAGCTATCTGTATAGATAGCTTTCTGGATAAGTCATGATTTTATTCTATTAATGAATATTATTTTTAATGATGTGTTGTATAATGAGTTTGCTTTATTTGCAGACGCCAGGCCTGTACCACATGCCGCCGGAGCTGCAGCTGCTGCATACCAGCGCTTCCATGCAGCACCTGCAGCACGTGCAGCTGCACCAGCTGGCGGCGCACCAGGCGCTCGGACAGCTGCCGCCCGCTCTCGCGCCTCTGCAACACCCGGCGCTCGCCCAGCTGCAGCACCCGGCGCTCAGCCAGCTGCAGGCGCACCCCGGCCTCGCCCAGGTGCAGACGCTGCAGGCGCACCCGGGCATGCCCCAGCTGCAGGCGCACTCGGGTGTGGCCCAGCTGCAGGCGCACCACGCGGCCGTGGGTCAGATGCAGGCGCACCACGCGGCCGTGGGTCAGATGCAGGCGCACCACTCGAGCTTGGGGCCGGTGCGGTCGCGGCCGCTGTGCCACCACCACGCGCCGCGCCACGCCACCTAGCGGCCGAGCCTCGCACCCGCCTCCGCTCCGTATGTACAGGATTTGCACAAAACAGTATCAACCGGCTATTTTGCTTTTCGACGTACATACGGCGGGGATGCACGATTTTAGCGATATTGAAAGCGATAAGCGAAATATCGATATTTCTTGTGCATGTATTATTTCTTAATGTAAAAATGATTTGTTATTATAAGTTTTCTTTTCGCTTACTCGTGATCGACGTTGATAATTATCGTGCATCTCTAAGAGGACTTACGTGATGCGACATCTCGTCACACCGCGCGCCCTCGCAACTACTTGACTATCTCATCCTCAACTATAGCAATACACGTTGTCTCAGTAAATGAAATTATGTAAACAAAGATAATGTTTTTAATTTTCTTAACTTTATGAATATTTCCAATTTGCTAAGTGTATTAAATCAAAACATTGTCAATCTCAGTGCCCTCCATGTATGCGTTACTTTCTAATCGATAGAACCATATTGATTTATAATAAGACAAAAACGAATGATTATAAAATCGATTTGATATCGCCCGAAATAAATTGTATCGAATTTAAAATGTATGAAAAAATTTAAATTGTAATGATAATGAAAAAAATACTTGGAAACTTCTTATCCCTGTAATTATCCAATATGACAAACGTAGAAATTTTCTATGTAATTTAAAGTAAACTTTTGTACTTCATACTATCAGCGTTGTCTGACCTTAATCGATTATTTTAAGAACTGTAAGTTTTATCCGAATGTTTAAAAGTCCTAAGGTTATTGCAAGAATTTTTCGAATAATTCAACACAATACTTTACAGCTAGGCTAGGCTTAAGATATGCTTGCCGGTGCTCTAATGCAAAATATTTATTTTTTATTTAATCGACACCTTTAAATAATCTAATATTCTTCTAACTTCGCTTGCTTGCAATTAATAGAACACATTTTTTTTAAGAAATGGCTTTTTTTATTAAAATTCCGTTTGAGCATTTAAAAGTTCTTTGCTGTAAGTGTGAAGAGTTGAAATTGTCACTATAACTACATAAATTCATAAATCATCAAAAAACTTTTTTTATATATGTCACGTTAGTTGACATCTTGTGATTATCGAGATTCTTTGAAAAATTACTAAATAAATAGTCACATTAGATTGATATTTGAATCATTTGTTGTCCATTTTATAGCTACGATAATGTAATATTGTCAAATAATATTAATATTGTTATGAAATTGTATGCGCTATGTATGTGAGGGGCTGTATGTATGTCTGTCCGTTGAGTTGTCGCTTGGCGGCGCGGAGGAGTGGCGGCGCGGAGGCGCGGTGTGCGAGAGTTCGCGTGTCTTGGCTTCATCGATTGTGGCTCCATCTATGAACTGTGCGTGTTTCGGAGGATATTTACGTTCGGCAGGGATCATTTGTCGTTATGCACGACTATTGTAAAGATGTTTACTTTGACGGGCGCATATCCAATAGGTATTCTCACCTATGTATACCATTTTTATTGTAGAAATATTATTGGTGATAGATGCCAAATAATCCTAATAAAGAACTGAACTTTTATATACATATTAACTGTTCTGAGGGTATTTAGAATTTAGGACTTTATTTATGTAATTTAAACGCAATTAGCTTTTCTAAACGCTATTTATGTATTAAGTGACTTTATTTATATATATTTCTAAGTGACTCATTAATATTTTACATTTTTCGCAATTTGAGTTTCCTATATTACATCATTTTAATACAAGTAATGCTCAAGATTCAGGAAGTTTTATTGTTTTTTATCGGAAAACAAATCCGAAATGATATTTATTTTGTGCCAAGAAAATTAAGTTTAAGTCACTTTTTATTGATGCCACAAATTAAATTTTAATTTTAATTCAAATATATATTTTTGCTCCTTTCTTTGGACCCTGGGAAGATTATTGGCCTAAGTAAATAAGTATTTTTCAATGTGTAGGTTTTGTATTAACATAGCGTTTATGTTAAGAGGATTGTTTTAAATATATTATATATAAACAAAATAACAGTTATATTCATTAGTTGTAATTACAGTTGCAAAATATATATTATATAAGTGCAATATTTTTTAAATACCCGGTGCTTAGTATAGTACGAAACAGTGTAATTGGTTATCAGAGAATCTTTCACATCCTCAGAACATTTAAGAAAAATAGAAGTATATAAGAGAGTTACGAATTACGACCATAAATTTAATATTAATACGAACAGTTTACAAATAATTTTATTGCACTAATTGTAAATAGTATCTAAAGTAGGATCGAATACGAGTTTTTTTTTTAATTTTGAAATGTCATTTTAATGTGCTACAACAAAGTGTTCTGACTCAACCATTCCAATGTACATCGCATTCAGTAGTTTAGTGTTGGATTGATAAATGTGACGGAAATTATATATTTTTAAGATTGAACCAATTCGCACAAAATACGTTTTTATATCGACTTTGTGGTGCCTCGTAAATTAACGTCACAAATTCACCTTCACCCGGGACTTGACCATGCAGGATACTTATCTAAATAAAAATATTTTTGCTCTAAAACTAAATTATTAACTATTTATTAATTCTATTTAATGAAATGTACGATTTTTTGAAATTTTTTCATGTGTATTTCAAATCAGAACTATTTAAAGTATCCAGGCATGGGCTAGTCACAGAGTTTTTTTTTATTACACTGTGGATAAAGCACTTTTTGTATAGGATTTGGATTTAATGAATTGTTTGTACACAAAGGCATCAGATGATACGTCGATTAAGTATTATAAAGCGGAAGAATACTTGATATTATTGAAAAAGTAGTATTTAAAGAATCCCAAAAGTATTTACTCCCCCTTGTATTGTTTTCTAATTTATTTAAGTAATATATTCGTTCGTAAGTTATATAGCTGTATAAAAACGCTTCAAAGCTTGATGCTTGATCGCAATAGCTAGGTTTCGCTATATCTGTCTCATATGGCAATAATTTAATAATTGTATTCAATATTTTATTATTAGTTAGCCAATGTTTTTTTTTTTAAGTATTTTTACGTATACAATGTCGCCATCACAATAATTACGAGGATCGATCGGATGCGTAGAAATAAGCTAAGAATGAATGTTAGTTATATAAAGTAGATGTTATTTAGTAATTGTTGCTGTGTTACATGACATTTGTGCGTGGTTTTCACTGATGTACAGCCATTGCGAAGTATTTGGCAGAGGTTAGAAAATGAATTGGAATATAGAGTGCGACTGAAGTTAGTTGATACTGTAACGCGTGAGCTAAGGTCTTATTACCTCCGAGTATCAATTAAATGTATTTTAGTTTCCCGAAGGCCGATGTTACACTTTCGTACAAACGTCTGTCGACTGCCGATAGTGTAACATCGACCTTAATATGGTTATGATTATTATATTTCACTTACTTGTAAAATTTTTTAACACAACAATAAATTTAAATGTGAAAAATATTTTTTTGGTTTTATTTTTACAAACGACAATTTCAGTATAACAGAATCCAGAAACAAAAAAATTAAGAACTAAAATGTGATTTGAAAAAAAAATTATGATTTTGTCTTCCAATTCCGATATACTAACACAATGTTAGTTACCATCTAAAGGTTTTTTTTTAAATTTCAATTTTATTCAAACATGTTTATTTTATTAATTCTGTGCTTATCTTATTTCCATTAAATTCAACAATACAGGTGTCGGAACCATATTATTAGGGTAAAAACATTAAAATAAAACTCTTCTAGGTAATTATATTTCTTAATCTATCACATACAACTGTTATTCTCTTTTTACATTCATCAGAGATATGCTTAGTACTAGACAATAACAAGGAATCATTTTCAAGTCTCTTTACAATATCTAGAAATTGGTCATCTTCGAGCTTTACTTTTTTACTTGCAGGTTCCTCTGCAACTTCAATAGTAAACAAATTATCAATATCCATTTCGAAATTACTCTTTAATTTAATTTTATCTGAATCTTCATGTATAAATTTATTCTCCATACATTTATGTGTATATTTACAATCGGCTATTAACATCCATTGTTTGTTTCCTTCATTAATATTTTTATTTTTAATATGTTGCCACATTTTTTGCAGTTCTGATGAAGAGTTAATTATTTTCCCAACTATATTTTTGATTTTTTTCTCCTTATTATATTTTAATAATTCTCCCAGAGTATAATGTTGAACTAGAGGTTCTGTTTTTAGAAGTAAATACTTGAATGTTTCATCTATATTTTGGTCTATTGATAAATTTGGTTCATCGGCAAAAAAATAAAGTGATATTTTGCAATATAAAGGTATTAAGAGTAATATCAATTCATTATTTCCTGTTAATATTAACTTGGATATAATATGAAATACCTGAAAAAAAAACAACGAACTTTAAGCTTGATTTGTGAAGAAATTTATAATTTAGGAAACAAAGTATTTAAAAATAAATGCCATTACCGTTAAGACATTTTCAAAATAGACAAATTTTTCTATAATTTCATTGGTCAATAAAACCAAAGCTTCCACATATGAATAATACCAGAAAATACTATTTTCTATATTTTTAGGTAATGAGAAAAGATTTTTTGGACACGCTTTAACCCAAGCTTTTACAATGCTATCTATTATATTAGAATTTAATTCCGTAAAGCAACAAGTTGAAGCAACTTTCATTATTTTAATCTGTAACAAGAATAAATTTAATACATCATAACATATGAGCATTATTAACAACTTTTTTTTTCTCAAAACAATATTTTATTTCAAAATAAAAAAAAACTCTCATAATGTATCCAACTTTTAGAAATTGCTAAAGAAACCTTACCAACTGCTGCATATCATTTTCCATGTAATCAGAGTTTGTTAGCTTTTTTAATTCAAACAATAATTTTCCAAGTAAATTCTCTTCTGTTGCAACCCTTATATTTTCTGGTAAATTTTTAATCTTAATAAAACTCCATAGATTATAATATTTCTCTTGAATTTCATATTGCTTTTTAACCAAAACTTTATAATGGTTAGGTAAAATTTCAAAAAGTCGTCTAATAATCTGTCCCAATTGAATTTCTTGAGGAGAGTTTTGAAACGAAGCATTTAACTCCAAATTTTCGTATATTTTACATAAAGATGTCACAGTAGGTACAATGTATTGAGAATCTGTGAGCCTGTAAAGTTATTTTTATACAATTAAAGTATGTAACTAAAAATTAATTGTGGTTATTTTAACGGTCAAATCAACCTATTTTACTATAAAATAATCTCGCATAAGATATGGGTAAACATTTTTTTACTGAAAATGAAATGACCTGAGTTAAAGATATATTCATAAGAATAAATTACAATTAACAAGCTGCCAGAATGATTTTTCGAAAAACGAAAAAAAAAATTGTCCAAAACCATTTGAAAACACCTAAAAATATAGTAATACCTTATTTACATTGCTCATATACTTATTATTTACATATGAATGGAAGTATGTCTTATCGGACCCATAGTCCGACAAGGCCTGATTGAAACATTAGCTTGTCGAACATATAGTCCGACATGGCAGCTAATGTGTTAAGAAACCTACTATAAATATGAAGCCATCTTAAATATCGTAGTAGCATAGAACATGTCAAACTTACTTTGCCAATAAGACCCAATAATGTGTCACAAACAAAGCCTTTGAACAATTATCTCCCAACACAGCATCGCATAACTTTTCTTCCAATACTGAAAACTCTTCGCCTCTCAAACTCATTGATAATGCGACTAAATTAACAAGCAAATTATCTTCCAAACTTTGTTCTTCACTGTCTTTATGAGTCACCTTTGAATTAAGCCACACTTCACCTACAATATTATACACGTTAAACAATCTATATGTAATCTGTTTAATATACATACTGATAAATGCGAATGTTTAGATGGATGGATAGATAGATGTTTGTATAAGGGTATATCCAGAACGACTGCATGGATCTACTAATTAAGTTTTTTTTTTATTTTGCGCGGACGGAGTCGCGGGAGACAGTAATATTAAATAGTAATGAAATAAAATCAAAAATAATTATGTCATTTAAGATTAAAATACTTACCATAAGGTATGATGTTGAATATATATTCAATTAACTTGTTTTTTGGAACATTTAAATTCAGATCAGTATTTTGTAGAGTACATTTAATTGTTGATATCAAAAGTAATAGTAAACCATGTTGTTTATCCTCACTCACTTTTCTTATATCACTTTGAAGTAGACACTACAAGTAGAAATATAATTTATATCTGTCACACTGTCACTTAATAAATATTTAAGGATTACTTTAGTGTAGTATTTTAAATGGACGGAGGAGGGTACAGACTAAAAACCGATATACTATTTACCCTCTTTCTTATTAGGTAGCAAACAAACAAGCAGCTGCCTAAATTCGTCCGTATTTACAGATGTATGCCTACTTTAGGCAAGGTCATGCACAGAAACGGAAAAAAAACATTTCTATTCCCATCCTATTCATTTAAGAAAAATTTGGAAAGGGGAAAACACTAAAATTAGGCCTCCAGCATGCAAGATTGTGTGAAGCACAATAACTGATAAGTAAGTGACCCAACCTAGCAACTTACATCAAAGAATCTTCTATCAAGTAGGAGTTGAAATAATAACTCTTGTGTTATCTTAAAAATAAGTAAATTAACTTGACTTATAAACTGCTGTGACTTGTTTAACTGTTCACGCTGAATTGTACCATCACACCTTAAAAGTTATAAAAATCTATGTAGGTTTTTTATAATGAAAATGTTTATTGCAGCACTGAGGTATTAAAATCCAAAATTATGACATGACATATAAAACAGAAAACTTTAGTTAAATCTATTATATATTTTAAATATATTTGTTTATACTCACATATAAATAGAAATCAAAGTCTGTAGAACAATATCATAATTGTTTCTTGCTCCATATTTGAAGATATCGCTTAGTTTCGTTAATATCTTAATAATGAAACTGGCAATTTTCAATGAACGTAAAACTATTTTTTCCTCTTGATCAATCTTTAAAGATATCAAAAATCATAGCATATTATGAAAATATATTAAAACTATTTGGAATAATAATTTTAAAATACAAACCTCTAAAGCTGTTTTCAAATTAGATCCAATCAAACCACACAAGAGTTCAGTACATTGGTTATAAATGTCTTTATCCATTAAGCTCTCAGAATATTTAGTACATATCCCTGTATAAGCCTTTAACTGCTCTGCCATTGTCTTCACATCCAAAGCTTGGACTATCTCACTTATTTTCAAATTGATGTCAAGAGCTGTAATAAGTTTTACAATTCAAATAATAATGTAATCTTTGCTAAAACTGTAATATAATCTAATTCAGAAGTAAGGAAGGCACAATATCTCTACATATTACCAATGTGAAGAAATTAGTGATAGATTTAGGGGCTCAAGGCATAAACATATTTTAAGACCTGAATACTAAGCAATGATTTATTGAGTTGTATTTTCATGTCTTAAAACAACAAATATCCCCAAATGGAGATGGGAACAGAGTTCATAAAATGTTTCTTTTTTTTTTAAAGATGAAAAATGAATAACTTCAATGAAAGTTTAAGCTCATTGTATTTTGTAAGTTATACTATGGCCATTGTAAATGAATTGAGTACCTTTGAGAAGAATATATTGTTGTTCAACAACCATCATATCAAATATAAAATGCTTCTCTAATATCATCAAATATGTATGTTGCAATTCATGACAAGTACGAAATAAATCTTTTAATTCTGTCTCAACAACCTTTAAAAAGTTTCCATATAAGTTTTCACTGTAATAAAACATATACATTCATTTGCTTAAATTATAAACATCTTATAATGTTAATTATAAATACAGTAAAAATTAATTACCTATCTTTGCAGTGAGTAAAAATATTTAAAATAATTTGACCAGTGGTTGTGGGAAATGTTTTTAAACTTTCACATGACAATGCAACTGTTTCTATCAGAGTTTTCAGAAAACATGACAACTTTTGTAAGAGAATAACGGCATCTTCTAAGTAACTTTGTAATTCCACAGATTGAACATCAGTACTCTCTACTGTAGAACTTATTAATTCCAGACACTGAAATTTAATGTTTATTTGTCAGTTGCAATTATAATTGAATAAAGGGTTAAGGGTTACTACAAAAATGGAAAGTCCAATTTAAATATAGTAATTCTTCTATATTTAGTTCTAAGTTATTTGCCAATAATCAAATATTAAAAATTGTAAGTGTGTACGTATTTTTTGGACTTACCTGACATACACAAACGCAACAATCTTCAAGGCATAAAGTAAATTTTTGTGCAAATGAGGGTTCTTTGAATATACTTTCTGTGCTAAGAAATTCTATAGTTTTTGTCAATAGCATTTTATAAGGTGTACTATTAAACTGTTAAAAATTATATGTTAACGAAATTATATGACGAGGCACGCATTTTTAATAATCACAATTATAATTAAAAGGATACGATATGTGGACTATCTTCAATCATGCTATTTTCCAAGAAAATATCTGAATTTTGAGAATTATTCATGTTAATTTACTTGATGGTATTTTGATAGTATAATTCATACAGTAATTACCAAATCAACATTTTGATTAATTATTAAAATTCTAAAATATGTTACGGTAAATTGAAAACAAAAAGGAGTTACCGCCATAAAGTTTGAAGTTACTGACAATTGTCAATTTTTTTTAAATTTTATGACATGGTAACTTAGACCTTTAGGTCATTGTCAAAAACAAATTTGCACCAACCAACACTGGCATTTGATTTGGTCAAAGATTTTATACGTCCGGAAAAAAAATTGTGACAAAAGGTCACACATTTAATGTGTTCTCTTTTCTCTCATCATTAGGATAGCTCTATTTCTAGACCCAATAAAGTGGTACTGTTTAGGCGACCGTCGATTCTTCGCAACCCGCGCGAACCACAACTTTGTAAAGGTAGGTGAATGTTCGGTTTTTCACGACCGAGACCTGCGTGACCGCGACGGCGCAACCTTTTAAATTTTTCCTAAGGGCCATAATATGAGAAAATATGGTTATTTTTCTATTATGTGTAAAAAAATAAAATAATTAAAAAATCTCAAACCTGGCGCGATGGTGCGGGTGACCTTTGACAAACTTCTGTCAGCTGTCAAATTACAAAACACTACAGAAAACACAACACGTGCGGGCGAAATTGGAGCGAAGCATGGTTTATTGTACCGGCCAAACTTATTTTACAATATTTTTGAGCATAAAAAAGTAGAAAGAAATTTACGAAACCGCTTTTGCGGGACGATAACATGTCTGAGAATACAATAGTGGCGATTGGGAGAATAGAAGAGGAGACTACAAATTCTGATTTAGTTAAAACATGTCAACATGTTAAGGTTTGTTCTTCAGTTTTATGAAAAAAACATTAGCAATAAACTAGATTTGCTTATTCTCAAACTTTCTTTATACCAACAAAAGGTATATAAAAAAACCATAAAAAAATTGTTTAACATTACTAATTGATATAAATAATTTGTATTTTTTAACTTTTTTAGGATGCATTGCAAAAGAAAACTATTGAAATCACAGAAGCAATTAATATATTGTCTGACCACATTTTGAATTTTGAAGATGCTAAACTATTTAGAAAACATCTATCCAATTCATTATTAGCTCTTGTATCAGCTAGAATACCATTGAAACCAGTATTTTCTAGTTCTAATTATGATTTATGTAATGATTCTGAGAAAACCAACCATTTGGAGTTTTGCATTATACTCTCTACATTGTGTGACCATCCGGACATACTTCAGTAAGTTTAATTTTACTTAATATTTATCTACATAGCGCAAAACTATGTGATTGTGGCTTAAAAATAGCTATTGGAAGGTTTGGTAATTTAATGTTTTGTTTGTATCAAAGTAATTGCATGGTATAAAGAGATCAAAAACATATTACCATTACATTTACTTTAATTTATCCTATTAATATTGATTTTTTTGTTAGATTTCATGTTATGATTGTTTACGGGTATAATTTTGAGTGACAGATATTTAAAATCAATTACATGATGCAGGTATACACTTAAATACTTTCAAATCAACACTGTACCACCATTTGAGGTATTTATTCATCACGAGGATTCATATAATGTTGCTCCGAAGAAACGCAGACTCTTGAACTGCAGGCAGAAGATAAGTGATTATAGAATTGTGAACTGCTGCTATACATTACTTAACAAATTGCCCAATGAGTTCTCAACGAAATGGGATTGGACAAACTTTGTTACTAATTTTAGTTACCATGAGAATGCTGAAATAAAATGGTAAGTGATATTAAACAGGTTTTATATGAGTAGTCATAACATAACTGTTGGATTAATCATTTTTATTTTTAATTATTTGACTTATATTATAAATGTGAATTGGATGGATGAATAGACATTTGTAAGAATGTATCCCCAGAACGGCTCAATGGATTTCAATAGTCTGGAAGAACATATAGGCTACTAATTATTTTTTTTTTTAATCCTTGCGGCAACAGCTACTTTACCAATAAAGTTTTATTCTAACTTTCTGTGAACACTTCCAAAAAGATTCTATATTTGTTTTCATGTTTATGTTTGAAACAATGCAGATAACTATTTGTATAGATATTAGGGCATTGGAAACTTGCAGTAAAAATTTGCCTATTTTATTTTGAGGTATATATTTACTCTATTTAATAGTTTGAGACAGTGATGTATGTAATTTTTTTGTCTTTCAGGATGGTAAAAGAATGCATGGCTATATTAACAAATATGACAGAAATTCAATCAAAATTATTGACTAAACACCTTAATATATCTGATGAAGATTGTATGGAGATAAATTTTGCACTTAAAAACAAGGATGCAATAACTATAGAGGGCAACACTGATAATACTGAGTTATCTACGGCTAGTGTTGTTAACATAGATGGTATAATGTTGCCAGTGTATGATAAAACTAATGTTCAGAGTGGTATCCTGGTTCCTGTTACATCAACTGTAAATAATTTGAGGAGCTTAGCTTTAGCTGTGGCCTCGGGTAAATAACATTAATTTAATTTGTGAAAAATATATAGCTAAGATAAATATTGTTTAATTTAAAAAATCTACTTTCAATATCCAATAAATGTTTCATATTTATCTTTCATTTTTACTGTGTCTCTACTAAATTATTATTTTATAAAATGCATTATAACTTGAAACAAAAACATTGAAAGAATAAATTTCAATATAAGCAATAACAATATATTCAGACAATATTCAAATAATGATATATCAACTTTTTAACTTTACAGGAAAAGCTTTATCTCTAATGGGTCCCGTGGGGTCTGGAAAAACATCTCTTGTGGAACATCTGGCAGCTATCACTGGTAGAAAAGGTGTTGCCTTTAAAAAGATTCAACTGGGGGATCAAACTGACTCCCGGATGCTACTAGGCTCTCATCAATGTACTGATGTGCCCGGTGAATTTATTTGGAGTCCTGGTGTTCTGACTGAGGTATTATATTTTTTTTAAACCAGCTACATTTTAGTTTAGGCTAACTGGCTTAAATACATATGCACACCTAACTTTTTTTTTAAATTAAATCTGTACTCTGTAATCTTGTTAGCAGTCCAGTTACAGGAAAAATTCCTTGTAAACTAACAAAGGGTGTTTTTACATGTGATACCACAAACCAATAGGACTGTTTAAACATCAGTTGGAAACTAAGTGATATCATGTTTACATTATTCCAGTCTCGATCCTGCACACTGGCTTCCACTGGAATAATGTAAACTGGCCATAAGACTTATTTGCAAATTTAGGTCTCAAATTTGAACTGCACATAAACTTTGCTATTCTTTTAGGCTGTACAAAATGGTCATTGGTTGCTATTAGAAGACATAGATTGTGCTGCGTTAGATGTAGCGTCGACCCTAAGCTCGTTGTTGGAAAGGAACACATTATGTGTGCCGGGTTATAGAGATGCGCTGCCTGTCACGCCCGGCTTCCAACTATTTGTCACACAGAGGTATGTTTATGTCCTTTCTCTACAGCTCTGACCACTGGCTATATTTTTATATAATGTGTTTTAGTTATGTGTGCATGTAGATTGTTCAATATCTAAGATAATTAATGAAATATTAAAAAAAAAACTCACAGCATAATGTTAAATATAATGAGCAAATGCTCGATAATACCTAGGATTTAATTTATACCATAGATTTTTTCTATTTATAAAATTAAGTGTATTGTCAAAATTTACCATCTTGTTCACAGAACGGTAACAACAAACTATGGCTTCCAAAAGAAGATGTCTAATTCAAGCACATTGCTGCAAAGACATCTGACACAGATCAATGTGGAACCACTCTCAAGGTCCGAGCTGGCTGAGATAGTGCAAACATTATATCCCAGTCTTACAACAATATGTCCCAGAATAATAGAAGTATTCATGATGTTTTCTGTAGGAAGTCACGATACATCGCTACAAACAACTGAAACTGTTCCCAATACAGATAAAGAAACAAATTTAATATCAATACGAGGCTCTAGACTTATATCAACTAGAGATCTAATGAAATGGTGTTCAAGAGCCGTGATAGATTTTAAAGTATCCAGTCCCGAATCTGCCTTAAAAGTATTACAAGATGCTTTGGATATTTTCACATGTTCGGTGTCATCACCCGTACATAGATTGGAATTAGCCAAGAAAATAGGCACCTGTCTAGGAATTGTTGAAACTAAATCAGAATTCTACATGAAACATTACAAACCACATGTATCTCTAAATCCAACATCATTGGAAGTAGGTCGAGCTAAAGTACCTAGGATAGAAAAAAGTTTGGAAACTATAAATTTCAATGACAAGCAGGAAGTGTTTTCATTTACGAGACAATCGGCTTGTTTACTTGAACGCATAGCTTGTTGTGTTACGTCAAATGAACCAGTACTTTTGGTTGGTGAAACGGGTACAGGAAAAACATCATCCGTACAATATCTAGCCAAACAAACGGGACATAAATTAGTTGTTATAAATATGAATCAACAATCAGATTCAGCCGATCTACTCGGTGGCTACAAACCAGTCGATCTAAAGTTTGTTATCCGTCCTATTAAGAATGAATTCATAGAATTATTCAAAGGCTTCTACAAAGTGGATAAGAATCAAAAGTTTCTAGGACACATAGAAATGTGTTATGAAACAGAAAACTGGATAGCTCTTGTTACATTAATGAAGCAAAGTCATAAAGCTGCCGTTACCCGCTTAGGTAAAGAAAGAAAGGAAAACAAATTAAAATTATGGCTTACTTTTGGCCATAAGTTAACAAAATTAGAACAACAAGTTAAAGCTGCAACCAGATTGACATTCGCATTTATTGAAGGTTCCTTAGTTAAAGCGATGCAAGAAGGATACTGGGTTTTATTAGATGAAATAAATCTGGCCTCAGCTGAAATATTGGAATGTCTCGCCGGTTTATTGGAGGATAAAAACGAAATAGTACATTTACTTGAAAAAGGTGATAAGGTACCTATAAAAAGACATCCAGATTTTACTCTTTTTGCCTGTATGAATCCAGCAACGGATGTGGGTAAAAAAGATTTACCTGTTGGATTAAGAAATCGTTTTACGGAATTTTTTGTTGAT